AGTATGTGTGTGTTTAAGTGAGTATAAGTGTGTTAGAATGGCGTGTGCACAGTAGTGTGTACAGTATGCACGTGTGTGTGTTTGTGTGAGTATAACATTTGTATATGTGTGTGAGATTGTATGTATGTGTGTTGTAGTAAGTGTGTGTGTTAGAATGTTTATATGTGTGTGTGCGTATGTGGGTATGTTTGTGTTAGAATGGGTGAGAGTCTGTGTGTGTGCGCGTTTGTGTGTTTATACTGTATGTGTTTGTGTGAGCACAATATGTTTATATGTGTGTGTGTTGTGGTGAGTGTGTGTTAAAATGTGTATGTGTGTGTGTTTATGGGTATATGTGTTAGAATGGGTGAGAGAGAGTTTGAATGTGTGTGTGCGCATTAGTGTGTATGTGTGTGTGTGAGAGCTTAATTATATGTGTTTGTGTGAGTATATACATGTGTGTTTGTGTGTGAGTAAATATATGTATAAAAGAGGCTTATTTGTGTGTGTGTGTGTGCGTGTGGTTGTGTATGCGTGTGTACATAAACGTGTGCATATGCGTGTGTGTGTATGTATGTGTATGCTTCTCATCTGTCATGTGTTTCTCTCCACACCCGCTCATCAAACAGGCGCTGGATGAAGGAGTGTGTCTCACTCAGGTCCTTTACTGCTGCTCAGACTCTGCTGGAGGAAATGAACAGCTGAACTGAGGAAAACACTCGATCTTACAGGTAAGACCCTCTGATCAGTCACAAGACTTTAGTCTAACAAGAGTCAGAGCTTACTGTCGTAATGAAATCATTAATAAATCAAGACAGGATCAGATTTTATTGTGCTCAAATAAGCAAAATCTAGAGGTCTTTACCTTTTATATAAGACACTTCTGATACCAAATGATCAACAAGAAGTCAACTTATTATTTGCTGTTTATAAAACTCGGAGAGACGACAAGACTACTGTCAGGCAGTGTAGATAATGTATCTGCTAATAGAAAGACTTCTTATCCGGCTTTAAATGATTTGGCTAAGCAAATTTAAGAGCGCAGAATATTGCAGATGAAGATTAGACAAATTAAATAGTCTTAAAACTCGATGCATTTGTTTACAAAACCCTTGCAGAACTTTCAAGAAGTTGATCATTTCAAGAAAAAATGAGGCGATGAATCCATAAAAATGGTGTTTATTTTTAGGTGGTTTTGCTCTGATAATGCACACTGTTTCTCTGTCTGCATTTTTTCCCTCAAATCATAATATTTATAAATCAACACATGTCTACAAGCAGAAAAGCTTAGGATGTCATGTCTTGTTTTCTGGAAAGTATATAAAAATCATGCATCACTGCATATTTTTTTACTAGTAATTTTGCAAGATACTAGTATTCAGCTTAAAGTGATATTTAAAGGCTTAACTAGGTTAATTAATCTAATTAGGCAAGGTAGATTAACTTGGCAATTGATTGGACAACAGTGTTTTATATGTAGACAATTACTTTTATAAAAATTGAAAACTGCTTTCATACCAGACAAACTAAAAGAGGTAAGACTTTCCCCAGAAGAAAAAATATTACACAAAATACTTTGGAAATGTCCTTGCTCAAATCAAATCACTTTTATTGTCACATGTGTGCTATGATGAGTGAAAAGCTTAGGTGCTGGCTCCAGAAAATACAAAATACAGACAGTGCAAAATACAGACAGACAGTGCAAAATACAGTGCAAAATACAGACAGACAGTGCAAAATACAGACAGACAGTGTAAAATACAGACAGACAGTGCAAAATACAGACAGACAGTGTAAAATACAGACAGTGCAAAATACAGACAGACAGTGCAAAATACAGACAGACAGTGTAAAATACAGACAGACAGTGCAAAATACAGACAGACAGTGCAAAATACAGACAGACAGTGCAAAATACAGACAGACAGTGCAAAATACAGACAGTGCAAAATACAGACAGACAGTGCAAAATACAGACAGACAGTGCAAAATACAGACAGTGCAAAATACAGACAGACAGTGCAAAATACAGACAGACAGTGTAAAATACAGACAGACAGTGTAAAATACAGACAGTGCAAAATACAGACAGTGCAAAATACAGACAGACAGTGTAAAATACAGACAGTGCAAAATACAGACAGACAGTGCAAAATACAGACAGACAGTGCAAAATACAGACAGACAGTGCAAAATACAGACAGTGCAAAATACAGACAGACAGTGTAAAATACAGACAGACAGTGTAAAATACAGACAGTGCAAAATACAGACAGACAGTGCAAAATACAGACAGACAGTGCAAAATACAGACAGTGCAAAATACAGACAGACCGTGTAAAATACAGACAGACCGTGTAAAATACAGACAGACAGTGTAAAATAGAGACAGTGCAAAATACAGACAGACAGTGCAAAATACAGACAGACAGTGCAAAATACAGACAGACAGTGCAAAATACAGACAGACAGTGTAAAATACAGACAGACAGTGTAAAATACAGACAGACAGTGTAAAATACAGACAGTGCAAAATACTGACAGACAGGGTAAAATACAGACAGTGCAAAATACAGACAGACAGTGTAAAATACAGACAGTGCAAAATACAGACAGACAGTGCAAAATACAGACAGACAGTGCAAAATACAGACAGACAGACAGTGTAAAATACAGACAGTGCAAAATACAGACAGTGCAAAATACAGACAGACAGTGCAAAATACAGACAGTGCAAAATACAGACAGACAGTGTAAAATACAGACAGTGCAAAATACAGACAGACAGTGTAAAATACAGACAGTGCAAAATACAGACAGACAGTGCAAAATACAGACAGACAGTGCAAAATACAGACAGACAGTGTAAAATACAGACAGTGCAAAATACAGACAGACAGTGTAAAATACAGACAGTGCAAAATACAGACAGACAGTGTAAAATACAGACAGACAGTGTAAAATACAGACAGTGCAAAATACAGACAGTGCAAAATACAGACAGACAGTGCAAAATACAGACAGACAGTGCAAAATACAGACAGACAGTGTAAAATACAGACAGTGCAAAATAGAGACAGACAGTGTAAAATACAGACAGACAGTGTAAAATACAGACAGACAGTGTAAAAAACAGACAGTGCAAAATACAGACAGACAGTGTAAAATACAGACAGACAGTGCAAAATACAGACAGTGCAAAATACAGACAGACAGTGTAAAATACAGACAGACAGTGCAAAATACAGACAGACAGTACAGTGCTCTGTTATACATCATTTGGGAAATATTATAAAACGAGTAAAGGTGCTGGAAATCCTGGAAAATGCTTGATTTTTAATGGTGTTTTCAAGGTTAGAAAAGTGCTTGGATTTTGGACAAAAGTGCTTGAACCTGCTTGAATTTGAAATTGCATTCAGGGCTCGAAATTGCGACCGTTTTGGCTGCATATGCGGCAGAGATTTATCTATGCGAGCTCAAAATATATTTGGGAGCATTTGTGCAGGTGCTTAAAATTGTTGCCGTGTGCACTGCAAAATGTTCACCACATGCGCGTATTTAGGAGCCATTCACACAAGTGCATATCTGCACCTAAAAACACCAATGCAGAGCTCAGGAATGGTTTAAAACAGTCAACATGTCATCTGGCTGCAGTAAACAAAGCCTGCAATGCTTCCCACGCCTACAAGCTCTTCTGATTGGCCCACTGCTCCTGCACTGAACGCGAATACATTGGTTAATATTCGCTGTCAATCACTCAGTCAAAGTGATTCCTTCAGATCACAGGGAGCTACAGCAGCGGAAATGTAAAGCTCTGGGTACGAGAGAAGGAAAACAACACTGACTGATTTGATTACAACAGCACCTTTATACTAAAGTAATATTGAAAATAATAAAAAGTTATATTAATGAAAGCTTACAAACTATGGTTTCCATGTTTAGTGACTGACAACAGATGACATAGGAGCAGTTTATTAATTTGCAGCAAGAATATTTTCGGATTCATAAGGATTTTTACATGAAATTTGAATAGCAGTGCACATGAAATATCATGAACGATTTATTTATTTAATTAATTAATTTATTTATTATTTATTTTTATTTACTTATTTATTCGGGGTTTTTTTTCTTACTGTTGTTATTATTTGTAAGTTTTGTATGTTATCCTGGAGTTGTTTTGTCGTAATGTGTTGTTCAGATGTTCAAACGTCTTGTTTTAGTGTTGTGAAAAACCCAATAATTGTTTTTTTTATATATATAAAAAAAAAAGCTGGGCGTCACTTAAGGACACAAAGCATTACTGGGGAAAAAAAGCTGAACAGAGATCAGACGTCAATATGTTCGCTCACACAGACAGACAGACACGACTGCTAATGTTTTCCTGCAGTGACACTATTGATCAGGTTAATGCAGGACAACTGAACTAACTACACTAACATTATGTAAAGAATAGCTGATGATGGACTGTTGAATTATTAGTAAATAATGCACACCTGGGATGCACTATTATAATAACTCCCCATCCCGGAGTGCATTATTGTGCTTCTCCTCTGGTGTCCACTGTTGAGACGCTGTGTTTGAGAGTTCATTTGTCAGGTTTTTGTCCTCCTCAAATGTCTCCTGTGTGTAGCACTAGTTTCCACATCTCCTCCTTCTGTTGTGTTTTGATGTGATTTTTGACTGTGAAATAACTAATTCAGCGGAGTGATATGGAGCTTTAATGCACTTAAAACCTGCCGGAACTACTTTTTTAATCGGACAATAAAGAAACACCTCAGAATACCCATCAGCCAATCAAGCACTCAACAGATATATGTGGTGTAATGTCATATAAAGTGTACAGCAACACATTTTTTTGTTGTATTTAATATTTTTTTTTAGGATCAGAGAGTGTAAATGTTCTGGAAATAAACCCGATGATCATATTTGAGGCTCATTATTTTAAACGTAATTTCAGTCTAGTAAGTTCTTTACTTTATAGATTTTTCTGAGCAAAAGGATACATGAAGAGCGAGCTGGAAATATGTTTCAAAGGTTGCAGGTTCGATTCCCAGTATCAGCAGGCATTGAAGGTATTGAACACCCAGCTGATGTGCTCTTGAGCAGTCAGGTATTAATAAATTAGTGCAACTGAGCTTGGAATGATCTGGTCTTTAATAATAATGTTATTAGATCATTTTTACAACATTATTTATGTTGAAGTATTCACAATTTTTTCACAAGATTGAACAATAAACTGTATGATGTTTAGCGTACTGTCCTGGGAGAGAGGCCTGAGCTCATAAGATCCTTGAGCCTGGGGTTCCCTCCCGTTTGCAGGGCAAGAGGGGAGTTTAAGCTCAGGTAGATCTTTAGAACTCTTCTGCTGTTTACAGCTTATGACCAATTAGGGATTGTTATGAAGAGATGACTACTGACTAGGAGCACGTCTTTTGTGCCAGTTTGCATTAGTCAATTTATTTAAGTTGCATGTCTTTGGGAGGAAAACTGGACCCAGGGGAGAACATGCAAGGTCCACTCAGGAACATTGACTGGCCTGGTCAGGACTTGGACCAGTGTCATTCTTGCTGTGAGGCAACAGTGTTAACCACTGGGCTGCTATGCCCCCCAATGGAGGGAATTAGGAGGAGCAGGGGTGGAAGGGGAGATTCTTCAAGGCAAAAATAACTGTGGTATGAAACTCTAGATCACAGGTGTCAAACTCAGTTCCAAAAGGGCAGCAGCTCTGCACAGTTTAGTTCCAACCCTAATTAAACACACCTGATCAAACTAAAGTTCTTCAGGCTTGTTTGAAACCTACAGGTAAGTGTGTTGGAGCAGGGTTGGAACTAAACTGTGCAGAGCTTCTGCCCTCTAGTAATTGAGTTTGACACCCCTGCTCTAGATATTTATGGTGAGTTAGGAATCGTCTGATTGGTGAATCATGTATTGGCTAATACGGGACCGGCTGTGATCAATCATAAGCACAAGATCCTCTCGAAATTAGTATATAAATAAACTTCACCCTAAAAATAAAAGTAAAAAAGTATTTTTTACCTCTTAAATACCTCACCAATAGTAATAATTATTATTATTAGTATTCAATAAAATAATAAATTACATAATATTACATTATATATAAAAGTATAAATATTATGTATTTTCCTATTTTTATTCTTATTTACACACACATGCACTCGCACACATAAACACACACAATTGGATTTGTCTCTAAATTGTACATTGGTATATTAGATTTGACAATTTAATTGTCAATCAACATCCAGAATTGGCTGAAATGTTTATAAACAAAACCATAACATCAGAATGCATGTGATAGATTATGAATTAGCCGTTCAATCTGATCATAGGGCCAGCACAGTGGCACTGTGGGTAGCACAATCACGAAGAATCAAGACTGTTGCTGGTTCCAGCTTTGGCTGGGTCAGTTGGTGTTTCTGTGTGGAGTTTGCATGTTCTCCCTGTGTTGGCATGGGTTTCCTCTGGGTGCTCTGGTTTCCCCCACAGTCCAAACACATGAGCTATAGGGAAATTGGGTAGGCTAAATTGTTCATAGTAAATGAGTGTGTATGGATGTTTCCCAGTGATGGGTTGCGGCTGGAAGGACATCCGCTCCCTAAAACATATGCTGGAATAGTTGACTGTTCATTCCGCTGTGGCGGCCCCAGATTAATAAAGAGACTAAGCTGAAAAGAAAATGTCCCGCGGGCCAAAGTTGGCCCATGGTAACCTTTAATTTGGCCCACCATCTCATCTGAGAAGAATGTTAGGAAGGTGGTTGGAGCAAACGCCTTTAACAGAGATGTTTTATTGCTGTGCTACAAAAAAAAGCAACTGAAATTAAATGTTTCAATTAAACAAATGAATCAGACTTTTGAAATTTAAAATCTGTCACAAAAAGCAATGCACAAGACATGGGCAAGCAAATTAAGGCAAAGGCAGGAGCAGGTTGACTAGTGCTTTCAGCATTGAACTCCATTGTGTTATAAATGGGATTTTTTATGTTTTTACTGTAATTAGTTCATTATAAAATGTTTAAAAAATATACTAATTAATTAATATAAGGGCTGCACGGTGGCACAGTGGGTAGCATGATCGCCTCACAGCAAGAAGGTCGCTGATTCGAGTCCCGGCTTTGTCATTGGCGTTTCTGTGTGGAGTTTGCATGTTTTCCCCTTGTTTGCGTGGGTTTCCTCCTGGTGCTCCGATTTCTCCCACAGTCCAAACACATGCGCTATAGGGGAATTAGGTTGGCTAAATTGTCCGTAGTGTTTGTGTGTGTGTGTGAGTGTGCATGGAAGTCTCTCAGTAATGGGTTGCAGCTGGAAGGGCATCTGCTGCGTAAAAACATATGCTGGATAAGTTGGCGGTTCATTCCACTGTGGTGACCCCAGATTAATAAAGGGACTTTGTCGAAAAGAAGATGAATGAAAGAATGAATAATTAATACTATTCAAAGCAAAATTTTCTAGTTATTTTTAAAATATTTGCAAATAAATCAGGAAATTACACATGGCAAACATATATTTAGCCCACATCCCTCAATCAAGTTTGGGTTTTTGACCCTTTATAAGAAAAGGTTTGGGCACCCCTGCTTTAGAGGATTTTATTTTATTCTACAAGCTTGTGAAATCCAGTGTACCAGAATCAGTCCATAGTTTTTTGTTTTTCAGACTGTGACCTCAGTTAAACCTGCAGCAGTATTGAGCCTGTGTGAAAGTGCTTGTGCAGAAGATCAAAAAGGGGGCATGTCATCATGTGTGTGTGATTGACAGCTCAAGTCTCCGCCCCCTCTTGAGTGCTGTTTTGTTAGTGTGTCGGCTGGTGTTTGTTCACTCTCTTCAGCCGATCATGTCCTGTGTGTTATAAAAGCAGCTTCATGGTTTTTCTGGATAAGCTGCGTGTATCGTATGATGATGACAGCAACTCTTGCTTCCCACAGGCCGCCAGAATGTTCCAGAGGAGGAAGAAGAAGAAGAGGAAGTTGGAGATCTCCACACCTAAGAACTTCCAGCACCGCGTGCACACTTCTTTTGACCCAGTTCAGGGTTGTTTTATCGGGTTGCCGCCGCAATGGCAGAGCCTCATAGAGACGCTGAAGAGGCCCAAACCAGTGGTGGACCCGTCCAGCTTCACACAGGTGCAGGTCAGACCACAGAAGGTAAAAACACCTGCTTATGGATGCATGCATCGTGTGTGTGTGTTTTAGAATAAACAGTTATATTGATCATTATAATATAACATGATTTAAATATTATTGTAACTATTAAGTATATAGCACACGTTTTTTTCTTCTGGAGAAAGTCTTATTTCTTTTATTTCGGCTAGAGTAAAAGCAGTTTTTAATTTTTTAAACCCCATTTTACAACCCAAGCTCATTCTGAAAACATAGTCCTCTGGACGTTTCCGGAGACCACGAAATACGTCCCGGGAGGTACGTATGGCTGCATTTCATTTTTTTAAGCGAACGCTACGGGGCGGTGTGACGCCGTTCCCTTTCGCGCTTGCCGGCTGACCGCTTACCTCCGTGTGGAGGGCTTTCCCGCCGCAATCAGTTTGTCTGGTCAGCTCATCGTGTGCGTCGGCGGACTTCAGATGCAGAGAGGAGGAGTTGACAAAGGCGTCCAGCTTCGAGTCCGGGGAAGAGCGTTTCCAGAAATCAGGTAAGACAAAAACAGAATCCAAAAAATAAAGCGAACGAGTGAACAACAGGGTGAGAACGTGGTGAAATCTGAAAAAAAAAAACAGACGAGGGCTTTTCTTTTTCTAGACGGCTTTTCTAAATTGTTGCTCAGTTTAGGAAAGTGAGTGAGCGGGCGGGCGGTAAAACTGGTTGGGTTCAGGGAAGGAGGAGGGTGGGTCAGCCGATTGGCCGGTCGCGCAGTCAATCATTCAGTCAGTCAGACAGCGGCCTCTGGTGGGTTGACGCAAGAACAGCGTGGGTGTGAACGGCACTCGCGAGAGACGTTCCAGATACGAAAAAGCGCACACAGCGACCTCTCGCGGATTCGCAAAAACAAAAACTGCACAAATACGTACCTCCTGGGACGTATTTCACGGTATCCAGAAACGTCCGCTGGACTACGTTTTCAGAATGAGCCTGGGTTGCCATTTTAGGGACAAAATTTTTAGCCCCTTTAAGCCTTATTTTTTCCCGATAGTCTCCAGAACAAACCATCGTTATACAATAACTTGCCTAATTACCCTAACCTGCCTAGTTAACCTAATTACCCTAGTGAAGCTTTTAAATGTCACTTTAAGCTGTATAGAAGTGTCTTGAAGAATATCTAGTCTAATATTATTTACTGTCATCATGACAAAGAGAAAACAAATCAGTTATTAGAGATGAGTTATTAAAACTATTATGGTTAGAAATGTGTTGAAGAAATCTGCTCTGTTAAACAGAAATTGGGGGAAAAAATAAACAAGGGGGCGAATAATTCTGACTTCACCTGTATATATATGTCTACATATATTTCTAGATCTTATTTTCCTCCAATAAAGTATTCTAAAGTATTCAATTAATAATCTCCAAAATTAATTATGAATTGTTCATAGCAGTTTGCATATTTTCATAAATATTCAGCAAAATAAGGTGTCATTGTTGTGCATGGATAGATCCTGTACGTTGTACATTCCTGTAATACTATGAGATGTTTTACAATATTATGTATTTACTATGTATTTAATAACCAGGTCAGTGAATCTCACAGAAACACATCCTGATCATATTTCATTCTGAAAAGAAAGAAAAAAAATCAGTGATTGCTTTAGTTATAAAAATCTGTACATAGTTTGAAATATTTACAAAAAAGCTATTTTCTCTCAACAAAGCAAAACATATGAGGAATATATAAACTGATGTTGACATAAACTGATAATAAATATGATTTATTTATTCATATTTGTTTGGTTTTTGCACAGCTTTGTGACTATTTTTATGACAATTCAACAAATTTATCAGGAAAATAATATGTAGTTATCTTGAGTTTTTATTTTATATTTTTGTAGAACACAATTTTATAAGTTTTTCTGACTGTAAATCTTGTCTACAAGTGAACGAACTACAGAGAAAGTTTTATAATATAGTTTTCTGCTGGATCCCAGGACATGCTGGAATATTTGGAAATGAACGAGCTGACAAAGCCGCCAAAACAGCCCTTACAAGATAAAGGAGTGCAAAATCCCACCTTCGGATTTAAAGCCACTAATAAAAGGCGATATTCTAAACAAATGCCAAGCAGAATGGGATCAGTGCTCGCAAAATAAACTTTTTGAAATTCAGCCAGAAATAGAAAGAAAATCTCATTTATTTTTAACTCAAGACGCGATGAGATTGTTTATACATGAACATTACTTAAAGGAGAAGAAACACCCAAATGCCAATATTGCAGCAGAAACCAAACTGTTAAACACATACTTGTGGAATGCCCTATTTTTAATGTTATCAGACAACAATTTTTATCAGGAGAGACTTTACATGAAATATTTTTAAATGTAAATCCTTCTAAAACTGTACAATTTTTAACAAAAGTAAACATTAAACAACTGTTTCAGATTTTTATCTTATATATTATCATTATGGCGAGGCAGTGGCGCAGTAGGTAGTGCTGTCGCCTCACAGCAAGAAGGTTGCTGGTTCGAGCCTCAGCTCAGTTGGCGTTTCTGTGTGGAGTTTGCATGTTCTCCCTGCCTTCGCGTGGGTTTCCTCCGGGTGCTCCGGTTTCCCCAACAGTCCAAACACATGCGGTACAGGTGAATTGGGTAGGCTAAATTGTCCGTAGTGTATGAGTGTGTGTGTGTGTTTGGATGTTTCCCAGAGATGGGTTGCGGCTGGAAGGGCATCCACTGCGTAAAAACTTGCTGGATCAGTTGGTGGTTCATTTTGCTGTGCTCCTGTGCTGTGGCATCAACTCAAATGTTGTCAATTAGCCAATCAGAAACGTCCAAAACCTCGACACCATCATCTGAGCTTTTTCAGAGGCAGAATAAACTGATTGTGTGTAAACTTGACTTTCAAGAAGAGTTATAACCATTTCTCAAACAATATCTCTCTCATTATTCTGCTATTAAGCAGACCAGAAACACATTTGATGATCCTAACTTACCTAATAGAGAAACGTTTAGTCACATTAACATCTGACTTCTTTAATGGTTATTTGCCCTTTTATACAGTGGATGTAAACTTCTGCTTTCAACTGTATGTCTTATATTTTTCTTCCAGTCATGCGCGTAATGGCTCTGCAGTAATGGTGCATCTGTTAAACAGGTTCTGTCTGTGCTTAATATCTCCTCTGTAATATTTCCCCAGGGTTCTCACGTATCAGACGCTCCATTCAAATCTTTGAACAATCTGATCTGAAGTGTTTCTGTGGGCTAATTATGACCTGACAGACCTGCTCAACATCACACTTATATAATCATTTACTCTAGTAAATCATGCGAATGCAGACGTGCTGTTTCAGAATCATCAAACCTCTCATCTGCTGATCCTAATCATTTATAATAATAATGTCAACATTGGGTGGTGCAGTGGCTCAGGGGTTAGCACTGTGGCCTCGCAGCAAGAAAGTCACAGCTGGGTCAGTTTGCGTTTGCATGTTCTCCCCGTGTTGGCGTGGGTTTCCTCCGGGTGCTCCGGTTTCCCCCACAGTCCAAACACATGCGCTGTAGGGGAATTGATCAACTAAATTAGCCGTAGTGTATGAGTATGTGTGTGTAAATTAGTGTGTATGGGTGTTTCCCGGTACTGGGTTGCAGCTGGAGGGGCATCCTTGTTTAAAACATATGCTGGATAAGTTGGTGGTTTATTCCACTATGGGGACCCCTGATGAATAAATGGACTAAGCCAAAGGAAAATTATTGAATGAATGAATGAATGAATTCCAAGGGTTTTTTCTTTAAATTATAAGGCATTTTATGAGTTATTTTCTTAGTAATAAAATATACATTCTGAACTCATTAAAAACAACAACGACAGAACATTTAACATTAATGCAGAGATTGTTTAATATAATATAAAATAAATATGAAAAATATTCAGAGAAAAAAAACATAAGAAAAGGGAAAGCAAGAATTACTGGGTTATTGTTAATACCCAAACACAATATTATTCCCTTCAGTGTCCTTCCCTGTTCTTTACATTTGAGAAGCAGGGTCCAGAGCTTATTTTCAGCTATAAATAACTCATAATTTAATTAATATATTAATGAATTCATAATTTAATTTAAATATGTTAATAATTCATAATTTAATTAACTAATTTTATTAATCATATTAATAAAATTCATTATTTAGTTAATATGATTAATTAGGACATCACTTTTGTAAACATGTTTCAGAAAAAAATATAACCATTGTGCAAAATATGTCAGTGAAAGACACTTCAGCAATACATTTCAGTAAAATGAGTTTTTAGACTGAATATGGGTCTGTAAAACCAGGAAAAAAATTAATATTTCATATAAGTAGACGGCGTTTATTGATCTGTAATTGCCTTTTTTCAATAATTGTGCTACTAGATGTCTATAACATCATCATTAGCACTTAAAAGTGATGCTAAAAAAGATTTTGTGCTTGTCCGTTTGTCTACTTCTGAAGAAGAACGTTTCGTTTCATTTTCACAATCCAATTTCCAAAATAAAGCAGGTGTATAATGGCAAGCAATGAAGCAAAGGCCATGGCTGTGTCCGTGCATGAGCTCGCAAACATGAAAACAATTTCAGCTTTAATAAAATTCATTCATTCCAGCATTCATTCATTTTCTTGTCGGCTTAGTCCCTTAATTAATCCGGGGTCGCCACAGCGGAATGAACTGCCAACTTATCCAGCAATTTTGATGCAGAGGATGCCCTTTCAGCCGCAACCCATCTCTGGGAAACATCCACACACATTCACACAAACACTCATACACTACGGACAATTTAGCCAACCCAATTCACCTGTACCGCATGTGTTTGGACTGTGGGGGAAACCAGAGCACCCGGAGGAAACCCACGCGGAGGCAGGGAGAACATGCAAACTCCACACTGAAACACCAACTGAGCTGAGGCTCGAACCAGCGACCTTCTTGCTGTTAGGCAACAGCACTACCTACTGCACCATTGCCTCGCCTTTAATAAAATTGTGATTTAAAAAAATAAAAATCAGAAAATATATGAGTATTGAAGCACTAAAGCACCGTCAATGAAGATAACTTGTAAAATGCAAATAAAAATTATTTCAGACAGGAAACGGCTCACACCACTAGCGGGTTGTGGGCGCCCCCTAGTGGAGGCGGGGCCCTAAGCAGCTGCTCAATTCGCTTATAGAAAGGGGCCGGCTATGCTCCTCTCCACCAAATCAGCTGGTGTATGGTGTACAGTCTGGCGCAATATGCAATATCAAGCTGGATACTGCACACTGGTGGTGGATGAATAGATTCCCCCCAAAAATGTGTAAAGCTCTTTGAGTGTCCAAAAATACGCTATATATATATATATATACATGTAAAGAATTATTATTATTATTCATTCATTTTCTTTTCGGCTTAGTTTCTTTATTAATCTGGCGTTGCCACAGTGGAATGAACCGCCAACTTATCCAGCATATGTTTTGCACAGAGGATGCCCTTCCAGTCACAACCCAACACTGTGAAACATCCACACACCCATTCACACTCAGTTTTAGCTTACCCAATTCACCTATGCATGTGTTTGGACTGTGGCGGAAACCGAAGCACCCGGAGGAAATCCATGCAAACACTGGGAGAACATGCAAACTCAGAAACGTCAACTGACCCAGCCGATGCTCGAATCAGTGACCTTCTTCCTGTGAGGTGTTTGTGCTACCCACTGCGCCACCGTGACACCACTATTATTATTTGATGATCGTTCGATTAATTTCTTCCGTGTTTTTATTTATTTATTTGATATTTTTATGTGTAATTTTGTATATTTTATGCAGATCACCTACAAAATCCCTATGAGAATAAGCTGACGAAAGCTTTCCAAATAGAGTTTGTTACAACCTCTTTCATGTTAGTCTAGGGTAAAAGTAATAACATTTAAAAGGTGTGGTACTTTTACAAGATGATGGGTTAAAGCAAAAGACACAAACAACAAGACTGCCAACAAAAGTGATTAAATGTACAAAAAGTGAAATCAGAATAATGCCCAAATATATATACAATAAGAAAAATATTTACAATAATAAAGTAAAAAAAAAAACAAAGTATCAAACAAAATTAGGTCAACTCAAGAGCAAGGGGACGCCAGTGAAGCCAAATCAAAGAAATAAATATAACAAAACAATTCTAACTCATAAGCAAACCCCTTACCTCACTAGAAACATGAAAAGAAAAATCTTCAGCGCCGAGCGCCGTAACCTTACCTATTCTGAACTAAAACAAAACAAATACATAAGTGGCATTCACTTTCTTACCTGGTGTTTTAAACAATGGATTGACTACGTGTATGTAAGATGGAAGTCGTACGACATCTTCCCTGTCCACCTTACTCCGAGGACAAAGTTAACTATCAATAATCTCTTTTTGTTTGCCAGGTAAGAGTTGTGCCAAAGTAACAAACAAACAATCGAATATAAATGTACAGAAATCACAAAGTCGTTCAAAAATGGGCAGAAAATATACTAAATAATTTTATCCAAACGAAAGTTAAGCAAAATTAACGAATAACAAAATCATGTCGGCAAAAACACACAAAAACAGGATCAAAGGAAAAGCGCGCTGTCATCCGCTCTCCCTGGCGTCCTTATATGTGACAGCGCCACGTCACCCAATGATGAGTGACTGGTCTCCTGACCAATCGGCTTCCGCGAAGGCGTACCTAAAGGATACGACAGGTAGAGATGGGGAGAGAGAGAGAAAAAGAGAGAGAGAACGGGACGCAAAAATTCCACCAATATACGGCAACCGTAACAGAGTTGATGAAGTTGTTTTGTGAAATTAAATTAATCTCGCAACAGAAAATGTTTTTCCAATATGGTGCAGCCCTACCGTAAACGCTCCTGCAGGCTGTAGGGTGACAGTAGATGTGTTTTAATCTGGTATTTCTCCTGTGTGACTAAAATCTTGAGTCTGTGCTGGTTTTGACTGCTGTGTTTTCTCTTGTAGAGCATCGTTCGTGGAAGTTTCATCGGACACGAGGACTACATTTCAGCGGCGATCGCTCAGATGAGCCGACTCTCCGTCACCAGCTCCAACTCTTTAAGAAGAAGGAGTCCGTCTGTGAGAAAAAGAGCGCAATCATTAGGTCGACTGGGGGAATTAGCAGAAGCAGAGACTTATGAATATGAGGAACTCAATAATACTAACCACAGGAATAGTTCAGATTTACACAGAGGATCCAGACCGATCCAGAGTCCGCAAACTGAGTCTAGACAATCACCAGCAAGAGCTCGATCCGTTCACGAGGCGACCATGTTTACAGGACTGATGCCCAGAGATATCTTACTGCACAGGGCTGGGTGTGAAGGAACCGATAATGCTGGGAATAAACCAAACCAGAGGCCGGTGTCGTGTTTGTACAGCCAAAGTGATGGAGCCAAACTGAACTCGGATCAGCTGAAGATGGAGACGCAGAGGAGGCCGCAGTCTACCTATGACTTTAAGGTGCGTTTATTTTAGGTTTAAGATTCTGACACTATGATAGCCTTGGATAAAAACATCACGGTATTGTGATTACAGCTCTAAAATATATTCTTTATAAATGACAAGAACTTTTTTCTCCAATACACATAATATATTATGTTCTCCCTGCGTTTCCTCCGGGTGCTCTGGTTTCTCCCACAGTCCAAAGACATGCGGTACAGGTGAATTGGGTCGGCTAAATTGTCCAAAGTGTATGAATGTGTGTGTGAATGAGTGTATGTGAATGTTTCCCAGAGATGGGTTGCGGCTGGAAGGGCATCTGCTGTGTAAAAAACTTGATGGATAAGTTGGCGGTTCATTCCGCTGTGGCAACCCCGGACTAAGCCGACAAAAAAATGAATGAATGAATGATATTTTGGAGCATGTAAACATGTCAGGCTGAATAATTAAAACAAATTATTGACTATTGGCGGCACGGTGGCTCAGTGGTTAGCACTGTGGCCTCATAGCAAGAAGGTCACTGGTTCAAACCTCGGCTGGGTCAGTTGGTGTTCCTGTGTGGAGTTTGCATGTTCTCCCCGTATTGGCGTGTGTGTGTATATGTGTATGGTTGTTTTCCAGTACTGGGTTGCGGCTGGAAAGTCATCCGCTGTGGAATAGTTGACAGTTCATTCCGCTGTGGTGACCCTTAATAAATAAGGCACTAAGCCGAAGGAAAATGACTGAATGACATGTTAGGAAATAGCTGACTCTTATATGATAGTCATTTGTAGACTTTCTCTTGTAGTGTAAGATCTCATTACACAGGCTGCAAAACAATTTCCCCCTCACTCTCATGTATTATGTTGGGATATTGCTTTGCCTGGTCCTAAAAGCTCGGGGGTCTGGTTTTATATAGGTTATTGCAATGAAAAAAGTTGATTTTTATCTGCTAGTTCTGACATTTTATGTGCAATTCTGTTTATATTTCTCTATTTTTTTGCTCATGTTCATGATGTTGTGAGAAATCATGCTTGGGAGAAAAATTGGAAAAGAAATATGTCCATTCATTCATTTTCTTGTCGGCTCAGTTCCTTTTTTTAATCAGGGGTCACCACAGCGGAATGAACCGCCAACCCATCCAGCTAGTTTTTACGCAGCGGATGCCCTTCCAGCCGCAACCCATCTCTGGGAAACATCCACACACACATACACTCATTCACTACGGACAATTCAGCCTACCCAATTCACCTGTACCGCATGTCTTTGGACTGTGGGGGAAAACGGAGCACCCGGAGGAAACCCACGCGAATTATGAGAATAAGATTTGAAAAAAAAAGCAACATGTCAATTCAGATAAATCCCAAGACCAAAAGTCAAATTGTGAATCGCTTAACTTACACTCAATTAGTTTTATTTTTCATTCCATTAAACATACAGACTGTTTCAAGGAAACACAAAATAGAGAGATGATTGTTTTCCACCACATTTCTAATCATAATAGTGTTAATAACTCATCTCTAATAACTGATTTATTTTATCTTTGTCATGATGACAGTAAATAATATTAGACTAGATATTCTTCAAGACACTTCTATACAGCTTAAAGTGACATTTAAAGGCTTCACTAGGGTAATTAGGAAAAGTTGGTTAAATGATATTGATAATGTTGTTCTAATAAAGAGCACTTGGGAAATATTTGCAAAAGAATTTAAATTTCACAGGAGGAATAATAATTTGATCTTCAACTGCAACTGCAACTGGAAAATAAAGAATAAAGTCAAAGTGTAAGCAAAAACAGCTGGAAACAACCTGTGTAATTCATCAAGCTTCCATATCACCCAGCGGATTGACACTGATAATATTACTGAATATTCAGTGTCTTTTACACCCCAGCTGAGCAAGATGAAGGTGGAATCTGACAGTGGGATGTTTACAGTAGTTATGACGCCGCTTGAGTTTGTAGCTTGCAGTCATTGATTTCACTGATGATAAAAACCTTCAGCATCAAGTTTCAACACAGCCTCTGATTGTCAACAGGAGAAAATAAACAGCACTACATTACATTACTGTTACATTTAATGTTTAATACATCTCACTCTGCTCAGTGTAGTAAATCAAACTAAACATTGCAGAATACATACAGCTGAAGTCAGAATTATTCACCCTCGAGTTTTTTCTTTGTCAAATGATGTTGAACGGAGTCAGGAGTCTTTCCACAGTGTTTCCTCTAATATTTGTTCTTCTGGAGAAAATCTTATTTGTTTTATTTCGGCTAGAATAAAAGTAGTTCCTGATTGTTTTAAACCCATTTTAAGGTCAATACTATTAGCCCCTTAAGCAATATTAGTTTTGGATTGTCTCCAGAACAAACCACTGTTATACAATGACTTTCTTAATTACCATAACTTTACCCTAATTACCCTAGTGAAGCCTTTAAATGTCACTTTAGGCTGTACAGAAGTGTCTTGAAGAATATCTAGTCTAATATTATTTACTGTCATCATGACAAAGAGAAAATAAATCAGTTATTAGAGATGAATTAATTACTTAATAACTAATTAATAACTATTATGATTAGAAATGTGCTGAAGAAATCTGCTCTCTGTTAAACAGAAATTGGGGGAAACTATACAGAGGGGGCTAATAATTATGACTTCAACTGTATAAATGAAAATAATGCACTTACAAGAAGTCAACAAGCTGGAGATAAAGGTCTCTGAAGCTTTAACAATAACAAAGTCATCCTGTTATAGATTATATCATGTTAGATTCCCCAGAATTCAGAAACTGATAAAGCGCAAGCTTCAGATATGTGGATGCAAGTGTTATGCTTACAGTACATGTGTTGACAGTACACCTGATGTGGTCAAATTAATCTTCCTGTGTGTAAGGAGGGATGAATTGAAAGAATAAAGTATTTTGATTTTGACAAAGCGAAGGAAAAAAAAAAAATGTTGCCATACAAAGTAAATGAAATGACAAATGAATTTTCCACAGCTCAGAACTTTTCCTGTAATCTCCAAAAATAAACAAATGAAAATGAAACAAATGGAAATTGTGTGTGTGTGTGTGTGTGTGTGTGTGTGTGTGTGTGTGTGTGTGTGTGTGTGTGTGTGTGTGTGTGTGTGTGTGTGTGTGTGTGTGTGTGTGTGTGTGTGTGTGTGTGTGTGTGTGTGTGTGTGTGTGTGTGTGTGTGTGTGTGTGTTTGTTTGTTTGTTTGAGTATAACATTTGTATATGTGTGTGAGTTTGTATGTATGTGTGTTGTAGTAAGTGTGTGTGTTAGAATGTTTATATGTGTGTGTGCATATGTGGGTATGTGTGTGTTAGAATGGGTGAGAGTCTGTGTGTGTGCGCGTTTGTGTGTTTATACTGTATGTGTTTGTGTGAGCACAATATGTTTATATGTGTGTGTGTGTTGTGGTGAGTGTGTGTTAAAATGTGTATGTGTGCACGTGTGTATGTGTGTGTGTTTATATGGGTATATGTGTTAGAATGGGTGAGAGAGAGTTTGAATGTGTGTGCGCATTAGTGTGTATGTGTGTGTGTGAGAGAGCTTAATTATATGTGTTTGTGTGAGTATATACATGTGTGTGTGTGTGTGTGTGTGTGTGTATATACACTCTCAAACTAGACCCTTATATCAAATAGACTGCATCATTATCAAAACTAACAGAGGGGTCAACCACATACAAAAACTCAACCACGACTAAAAACTCAACTATTTAGTCTCCACTACACTTCCTAATCTGCAATTGCCTCTCTGAATATCACACTAACTGTACCCAAAAAAAAAAACAAAAAAAAAAAAAACTAATACTACTAATACTCCCCTTCTTAGACTTTACAGACCTGAAACTTGCCTATAGCACTTATTCATTGTTGTGTAAATTGCTTCCTTGTCCTCATTTGTAAGTCACTTTGGATAAAAGCGTCTGCTAAATGACTAAATGTAAATGTAAATACAAATACATTCCAACAATTAAACTAAATTATTTCAAACGTGGGCGGTGCGGTGGCGCAGTGGGCAGCACTTTCACATCACAGCAAGAAGGTCGCTGGTTTGAGCCTCAGCTGGGTCAGTTGGCATTTCTGTGCATGTTCTCCCCATGTTGGCGTGGGTTTCCTCCGGGTGCTCCAGTTTCCCCCACAGTCCAAACACATGCGCTGTATTCTAAAATGCGGAAGTGCGCTTTGTTTTTCCTATGGGAGAAACGACTAGGAATAATAAACGGCAGAAAACGGTCAAACTAGTCACTCTACAAAGAAGTGTTTGCATGATTATACAGACAAAGTAGAATAATTTAAAGTTTGCAACATCAAGCAGCAAAACAAGCTGTTTATAACGTCTAAAAATGAATGAAAGCGAATGAGACCGGAAGTCTCGAGCCAAAATGACTCAAATGGCTGCGGCCGCTCGTAGACGGAGAATAAGGGGAATAAGTAGAGAACAGAAACTAGCAGTCCAAACTGCCATAATAAAAAATATAATTGCAGAGCAACCTGTTTTCTCTTGTGCTTGATGTTTAACTTTACTAGGTAAAACTGTCCGAGATATAAACAAAAGCAAGTGATGCATCAACGTTTGATTTTAAAAAAAATCTTAATTTGGTTATAAAACTTTATAATCATTCATTCATTCATTTTCTTTTCAGCTTAGTTCCTTTATTAACCAGGGGTCGCCACAGCTGAATAAATCAACAACTTATCCAGCACATGTTTTCCTCCGCGGATGCCCTTCCAGCTGCAACCTATCACTGGAAAACACCCATACATTCTCATTCACAACTACGGGCAAGTTAGCTTACCCAATTCACCTAAAGCGCATGTGTTTGGACTGTGGTCCCGGAGGAAACCCACACGAATGCGGGGAGAACATGCAAACGAGGCTCTAACCAGTGACCTTCTTGCTGCGACTGCGCCACCCTGCTGCCCAAATTTGTAATCATTATAATAAATTATAAAAATATTAAAAAATAAAAATGAACAAGATTAATGATATGATGTATTTCCGGAAACTTCCTACTTCTCTGTTTATTGGTTTGACTTCACAGTGGCTTTCTTTTGACCGCCCCTGTCATTTTAAAGAATGTGCGCCACAATGGCGCACGCGTCAAGTATAAAAGCCTCGTCCTTTTCATGAGGTGCGAAAACGGTGAAAGTATAAATCAGACTTAAGATGTTTTTTTGTTTTTTTCTGTGCATCTAACCCAGGGATGGGCAAACTCGGTCCTGGAGGGCCAGCGTCCTGCACAGATTAGCTCCAACTCTAATCAAACACACCTGCGTATAGATTTCTAGTGATCCTGAAGACACTGATTTGCATGTTCAGGTGTGTTTGATAAGTGTTGGAGCTCAACTGTGCAGGACACCGGCCCTCCTGGACTGAGTTTGCCCATCCCTGATCTAACCTGTCTTTGGTACTGTTCAATTTAGTAATTTTATTTTACCACTAATTTTGTGATTTGATATTGCGATATTGGTCTTCAGTTTAATACTGAATGGTCTTAAAAAGTCTTAAATAGGACGTTATAAAATCTGCAGAAACCCTGTTACAAGACTTCAGTCTATTATGCTGCTGTATTTTCTCCGGTTTACAGCGCATTTAAAGAAAAAAAAGTTTATTTATCTTTACAAATTTATACAAATTATTCAGCTTGATTCAAAAATTCACTTAATTTTGAAATATTATTTCTGAAAACAAAATTATAGCTTTTGCTTGTCCTGTAAATGCTTCTTGATTTAAGATTTTTTGACTTAAAAACAAGACAAAAGCTCCAAGCATGCAGTATCCCTGAAAAACAGATGTGCATTTTCTCTGGTTTACAGGTCAATTCTCCAAATCTTCCAGCTGCATCTAAACCCAATGGCACCAGCAGTCCAAAACCAGGCCATGGGATAATCTCTATGCAGACGCCTCGCCGTTCCTCCACTGATAACACCCTCAAACTCTCCACTATCCCAGCCGATGTTCCTCCAGCACAGGACAGCCCGTCAGAGCCCAGACAGGCCCCAAGCGGAGCCTCGTCTCCTGGGCTGACAGAGCCCAGCGTCACACACACACAGTTCAGAGCCGCGCTGCAGATGGTGGTGGATCCGGGAGACCCGCGCTCATACCTGGAGAACTTCATCAAGATCGGGGAGGGCTCGACTGGGGTGGTGTGCATCGCCAGAGAGAAGCACAGCGGACGACAGGTGGCCGTCAAGATGATGGACCTGCGCAAACAGCAGAGGAGAGAGCTGCTCTTCAATGAGGTGATGCATGCGCTGTGTATGAAAACAAATCAATCTGGAAATAGAGTATGGAAGGTAATTCCTGCCAACTTTAAATAAATCAATTAAACCTTGGACATTAAAATGAAAACCAGATTAACAGTTTCATTATAAAACACTGTTTGCTAAATATCTGCCAAAATTGAAAATAAAATGAAATTTTAAAACTGAAAATAAAATGCAAACAATTTTTACAAAGCGTGCTATTAATGTTTATACAACAGTTCTGTCTGACTCTCAAATCTGATTGGCTGATAGCCGTGCGATAATCTGCAATATCAGAACTCCTACAGCCTCTTTACCCTTTGTGTATTACTCCGCCCACATACAGCCAGCAAAAAGATGCTTGCTCAGCTGTTCAACTGTCAGCTTATGACTTGAATCCGGAAGAAAGTAGTTCCTCATACAAAAGTGTTTTTGAGACTCTCCATGTTTGATTTTGTTTTTATATACACAATTATGCCGTCAAACTGTTGTATAAACGCAATATCACATGAGTAGTAGTGCGATATGGCTGTATATCGGCACTGGTGGGGGCACTAAGCCAACGCACGCCTCCCACCAGTACCGATATAGAGCCTTATCGCACTGCTACTCGTGTGATATCGCTCATTCACGCTATAATAGTGACACAATTCAAATAAAAATGTACATTTAGGTTTTCCTTTTATTGACACT